TAAACGAAGCTTGTCGGTAAATCGAGTGTCGGCGGATTAGCTGTCGGTAAAAAAAGTGTGTCGGTAAACTGAGTGTCAGTGTAGTGTTATGTCTGTAAAGTGATTGTCGGTAAAATAATACGAATCCATATTTCATACCATCTGGATACTGGATATTTTTTGTAAAACCGTTCTCAAAGCATATTCTTAGAATCTTTTAAGTAATAAATAGGCTCATTAGTTATTAAATCAGGTTTATATGAGCTTATTATAACATTTGCTTTGTTTGTTAAAAATTGTTGAATTTGTTTCTGTTTTTCAGGTGACATTTTTTCATATATGATTGCAGATTTGTTTTTAATTCGCTCTCTGAGGCCATAAATATATGCATGTTTTTTAGTAGCAAGTATAGCATCATTTGAAACTAAATAATACAGTTTAGAATAAGTGATTTTTGATGCATGTTTTATTTATTCTTTATAATTTAAACTTCTAAAACTCACTTTTAGATTTTTTTAATTTCTTTATATAAGAATGCATTTGCAATAATAGACAAACCACAATATTTGCCATTATTACTACATGTATTGGCATCTAAAGAATCTTTAAAACATTGCCAAAATATTTCAGTATTATTTTTGAAATGTTTTGGTATTGGGTTTAAAAATTCTAGAATATATAATGTCACTAATGAAGCTTTGTCTGCATTCAGACTTGTTGATTTTAACCAAAACCTAAACTGTATAAATAAAATAAATAAATTTGATTACAAATATTTAAAAAATTATAATATAAAGAGTGTGGCAACTTAGTGAAGTTGGCAAGTTGTCACACCCCCAAGCAGCAGGACTAGAGTTCAAATCCCACTGGTGATGAAAATTCAAATTATAGAAAATGCATTTGGAAGACTGTATCCTATTGGATTGTAGAACCTGTAATGGTGGTCGTACCAGCTTGTACTGGTAGATAGTGGAACATGTAGTGTGATGTATGAGTTATACGAAACCCGAGTGAAACTACCGAATAAATCTAGCAAATTTACAGGATACGGAAGCCTGCTTGGCAAGACCCGAGTGGAGAGGTAGCACAGATCTTCGACAGTTACTATGTAAAAGATGATCAACTGGTTATTGGAAAACCAGACAGGACCGAGGTGTTTGGCAAAAGCACTATACCAACTAGGCCGACAGGGAAAAACGGAAGAAGGGTCCGCCCTTTCGGGCTGTAGGATTGAGAGTTTGGGTTTCCAGAAGTATGGGAGGAAGTCCGTAAAGTAGGTACCGGGGTTTAGGTGAACTCTACAAGGGCAGTAGTAGATAACTGTAGCAGCTTCAGCTCGCAAGTACTTGTTCTCAGACTTGGCATAAGTTACTGAAAAGGTCTAGTCTGAAAATGTGTAGGACATAGAAAGATTAGTGGGTATATACTACACCCTCTCTAGGGTAACTCGGTAAGTATGAGAACCCTACTAGGTTATCTATAGAATTAGGGCACAAGTAGTGTAGCACATATCGATCTGGGTGGTCTTTAAATGTAGCAGCATGAGGTTATGGGCTGGCGTAATTGTAGGTGGTAGTAAATGTACTACATAAATTCCTAATAAAAATTCGCCTGTTCGCGACATTGCAAAGGAAAAAAAAAAAATTACAATATATACCTCTAACTGATTCTTTTTAAAAGCATTATTTCTACATAACCGACATGTTTCAACAATAATTTCCAGGCTTGATATTCATGATCATCTATTATATATTCTTTTGAATATAAGTTTTGTAAAGCTGATCATAATTTAATAATAGTATTTTCATGTAATATCCAGTCTTGAAATAGTTCTTGCCAGTTAACCTGTATACTAATATGTTGTTTAAGATGATATTTATATACTAGTGTCATTAAATGTTTATTATTCCAATTTAATAATGAATATGTAGAAACACGAATACTTTAAATAAGATTTTGAACATATTGATTATCAAGTCTAAAAAGCTGATAACCTCTAAACTGTTTCAGATAACCAACTTGATTCCAAACGAAATCTAGATTACAGTTAATGAATGTTTTTTTAAGCTTATTTCCTTTCATATATATCATAATTCTGCATTCACTAAATTTTACTTTTTGAAAAAAATGCTGTATTGTTTATTATATGAGTAAATAAATGCTAACTTGAACCCAAGTCTGGCAAAATTAAATTTTTTATTGTTTGACTTTCCAACTCCAAGTATCTATATTCGTTATTTGTTAAAAGAGTAATTAAAAACTTAAAATGCAATTCATAAAGATATTCTTGAACAAGTTCGGGTGTATCATAACCCATAACTTCTGGTTCCAAAAAATTAGCTTTTGTTTGAAAAATTTTTTGAAATACCATTGTGATAGCCATACTAAGTGTTTTACAAATCTCACTTTGAACACCATCACACTTACAAATATAACTTGGATGCGGTCCAAATTCAGATTCTTATTGTCTAACTTCAATTATAAAATCATGTCCATTTAAAGTTACTAAAGCTTAGATTGAATATGAATAGAATAAAGAAGACAAGAATTATTAATTTTTTCTAATAGTCTTGAAATCCACCAATTATGACAAAAGGGTCCAAAATGTAAATCTTCGGCCAAATGGCCACAAAAAATTAAGGTAATTGTATATTTCTTACGTTTCATCATTAAAAAGTTTTTTTTTAATAATCTCTAACTTTTATATATACTATATATATGTATATATATATATATATATACTATATATTTTAGAGGGGTTTTTTCTCTTTTTTTCTGTAATATTATTATTTTATATTAAAGAATCGATAATATTCTAAAGAAAGGCTTTTGCTGGTACTTTTACTTCATTAGGGGCAGTTAAGTCAAGCGACAGTAACAGATTCTAACGTGTTCTTAAAATCAGTAAGTTGATTATCCCCGCCCTTATATATAATATATATAACAATTTTTCTGATCTGCAGGCGGATCACGAATTAAACATTTACAGTAACAGGATTACGAAAATTTATTCAATTGAAATAAATTAGTATTATTATTTTTTATTTGCAATAAGTAGTAATTCATTTTTTATAATCAATCGACATGAGTTAATTTTTAAGAAAATACATTAAGCAAGATAATTGACATGCACCAAATTGGTTCAAGGATGCATTATCTAGTTAGTTAAAGTTGTAAATTTGATCTTATAACAATTTGAATATGGTTCAAAATAATATTGCATTGTTAAGTATAAAAATGAAATATGACAATTAATTATTTTATTGAATTTTGTATTATCGTTATCTTATTTTTTTTTAAATCAAACTTATGACTAGGTATATAGATAAATAAATAAATTAATATATAGAGAAATAAATTGATCAGATTAGGACAGATTGATCAAGTCATAATGAAAAATACGGGTGGTGATGCGTTACAAGTTTTCTTTTTTTTTTTTTTGTATGCTGATATTCTATTCTCCTTTTGTGTAAAACAAAACTACTGCGGTTAATGGAGAGCTAAATATATAGCCGAACGGAAAGTGTGTACCACCTAACAAAAATGAAAAGTCATAAATAAAACGAAATAAGATGATAATTTTCAAACAAAATATTTATTGTAACTCACATAAAGAATTCGACGGAGGAGCTCCACCATGAGTTGCGACACGAAGGACATAAGTAATAGGGCTAAATGCACCTTTCCCTTGGGATTCCTGTTTGTCAAAAATGTTAATCTTTATACGTATGAATTATAGAATTATTCATAGATTTCAATACTTGCAGTAATAATAGAAAGTTGCAGAGGAGCATCATGTTCCGGATTCTCTGGTGGAGCGACGGCAATGGCAGAAAATACTAATGATGAGGTATCATGTGGAATAATAGATCTAAAACCAGTAAGGCCATCTAAATTTTATCAAGTTGAAATTCTACGTATTAATCAGTAATTAACGATAAGTTTTATATGGTTTAAGTATCCTACATACTTGGTCCCCTAAAAGTTGATGCCACACCCGAAAAGGGATAGTGGGCGACTTCTTCTTCCTTGTTAAAGAGTATTATTCGAGCTTCATCTAATAATGAGAATAATAGTATATGATAAGAAAATTTTCATAAACGTAAAGATAACGATAAAGAATGTTATGTTATAATCGGGATTAATCGGTTTAGTCGACTTAGCCGACTCTTAATAGAATTGATCACGTTATATTATATTATATGTGCATATTACTAATTCAGAATCTATTTAAAATAGATTTTGGAACTTAAAACAACTTAGGTGTAAGTAAAATTTGAATATTTTCATGTTCGAAATAATCGATAAGTTGATTAAGCAGATTTTTATAATATCGACTTAGTTGGTCGATAGTTGAGGTCTCGATTACTAACACTAACATATGGCATATATGTACTGTACATACCAAGTTCCCATGCATGGCTGGCATTACATTTATACCAGAAATACCCGGCAGCGAATAAATGAAAATAGAAAGCATTGCCTTTGGGGACCATGAGTTTTTCCGGAATTTCGACATGAGGAAACTCTGTTTAATTATATCATCAAGTATCATCAAGTTAATGCGTAGTTATATCCAATCAACATTATTTTTTTTGAATATAGAAATTACCTCCATTTCCAATATATGTTGGCTGGGCGTCTGCAAATGAATAGATTACGTAGAGAAAGAAAACAATCACGATAGAGAGAAATCCTAATTTTGTCATCTTGATAGGTATCTTGATTAAATACCTATATGAAGAAGGTTAACATTCATGTTAAAAAGAATAGTTATAATGATAAATAATTCATTAGAATTTATATAATGATTGAAGAATTATGACATACAAAAAATCAAAGAAATCAAAGAAATCAAAGAAATCAAAGAAATCAAAGCAATCAAAGAAATCAAAGCTTTAAGTTGTAAAATTCGGGGAAGAAAAAAAATCTCAAGCTTTTATATTTTTCAATTGATTCAGGCATCGCTCAAATAAGGTTTATAATAAACCTAACGGTCCGATTCAAATTATGCTATATTCAGATAAACGAAAAGATTTTAAATCAAAATCAAATGTTTTATGCACAAAAAAAAGTTTTTTTTTTAAAAAAAAAAAATAACGGTTAAGGATATGCTAAATTAAGATCAAAGACGTTAGTTGTTAATGGCAAAGAAGACTAACTAAATGGCTAGTATATTTAGAAAATTTTATTAAAATCGTTTAGAATCAACATGATTTTATATTTTACATTGCCCCTCCTTTCTTCTAGAAAACTAAAATTAAATTTAGGAATTTAGGATGCCGGATTTCTAGATCATATTAGAAACATTTAGGTTTGTATGGCTTGAGAGAGAAGGGAGACTGAGAAGGAGTAACATAAACACGAATTAAGATAGCTTAATTATTATAAATTAGTAAGCAATAGTTACAAAAATATGTTCAAAATGTGTCGGGAATGTGTCAGAAATTAAATTTTAACCGAAATGATTTTTTAACTGATAAGATGAACAACAACCCAAACTATTTCGTCCCAAACCATGTGATAATTAGTATCACATAGATTCGTCTGCTTTTTTTTCTTATTGCCGAAACTATGTGATACTAACTATCACATGGTTTTGGACGTCCCAAATAGTTTGGGCTACATCTATATCAACGACACCCGGAATTTTTCTGCAATCACATGAATATAATGTATGATTTTTTAGTGATTATAAATAAATAAATTTTATCAATATCGACATCAGATAAAAATTTGTTTTTGGATTTTTAAAATGTACAAGGTTCAAAAAACCGTTAATACAGTAATATTCGATTCATTATAAATTATTTATTAAACCTGAGAAAAACCAGGTAATATCTTTAAAAGAGATGGTACGACAGCTATTTTTATTTAATAAATTTATTAAAATAAGTAAATAAATTTCAAGTGCAATATTTCCCTTGACAATAAGTGAAAAATAAAGTATTTGGCGAAGTTACTTTTGAGAAAACGAAGTCTTTGTAATTTCTATCGAAGAATGATTAATTTCTTGTAAATATGTCAAGCTCAGTAATAGTTACATTATGGTTTTATTTGTACCGATGTCAAATTATTCAAATGTAATAAATGTAATCGTCAAATTTTGTATTATATTTTGCTAAATACATGTCAGATATTCTAAATCGTAATTTAGGTTTATTCATTTTTGTTCATCTGAATTTACTCCCTGTCCAAATTAACACTCGCTACGTGATATGAATTTTTGCATAATCCTAGGCACCCCATTCGGGGAAGATACAGGGCACATGATTTATCTAAACACAACGTATTGCATCACTACAATTATTATGCTTGTGCATATCACAATAAAATCGTCATTCGTATGAGAATAGCTAAAATTACGTCATCACTATTTAGAAGTGTCATTAGAAGAGAGAGTGGGCCGTGTATAATGAAAAACAGGAGATAAAAAAGGTAATCTAATTAAGGCATACGATTTGGACGAACTTTAATTAAAAAAAGGATGGGATATAAAACTTTATTATAATGGATTATAAAAATTTTAAGGAAAGATTAAGTTTTTACTAGCGATGCAAACTTAATTAAATTTAAATACAAAAATAATTTAATTTACAAAAATATTATTGGGTGAGTACACAGCAAAACCATGCTTAGAGTATATATAATCTATATACTCTAAGCATGATTTTGCTGTGTATGGTTTTATAATTATGAAGATTGCGTCATTCAATTTAGAATTATATAAATTTAGAAAAATTAAATTTAGCAAAAATGCATGTATATATATATTGTAAGTAAAAACGGAATTTAAGTGGATTTGGGATTTCTTAATTTTAGGGGAGGATTTATTTTATATATATAAATATAATCCTAACCCTAACCTAACCCTTTAGAATACTTAAATTACAGCATATATACGTACGCACATAATAATTTTAACGAGGATGATGTATTATATTGATATGATATCATAGTTATAACGATAATAATACATAAACTTCATAAACTTGATTTTATTAATATGCTAATGAGTCGACACCTGCAAATTTAAATATGTCAAACCAATTATCTCCAACTGCTCCAACTGATATATTTCCAGAAGAACAAAATAGATTATTGAAACGAAAAAAATGCGGATAAAAAATTTGAGATTACAGATTACTACGTAACAAGAACGTTATTAATTACTCCCAAATAATATATCAATTATAAATTTTAGCCTCTCTAAATGCATACCCTAAGTGTACCTTTTGCTCTTTTTTTACTATGGTCTCGAGGAGATGCATTTAGTGAGGTTACTTGGACTTTTGTTTGACAACTAAAGTATTTCAAACAATTTTTCTTTTCCCTATTTAGTTTTCATTGATGACTAATTTTCATCTCTCTACGTGTAAACGC